GGAGTAAAGAGAGAGGGGATGGCTCTAGCCTGAAAGCTGGGAAAGATCACTCTCAAGATCAGGGCTGAGAGTAGCCTCCCAAATCTTCTCCAGCTCACCCATTTCACAGATGGGAAACTGAGGCCCAGATGAGTCTGTGACTTGCTTGCCTGAAGGCATAAAGAAGCTGATGGTAGAAGCAGATTAGAACTCAGGGCAATGTTCTTTTTGTACCATCTCCTAGTGGGCCCAAGGGGGAGGTCTTTGGGCACCCAAATGGAATGGGACTCTTCAGGCACCAGAAAGTAGAAACTAAGAAATAAGGGCTATCATTCGGGAGGGAAGAAGGAGGACCTGATGGAAGATTCCGGGTGAAAGATGAGGAAGGAAAATGGGCCACCTTCCAGGCAAGAAGGGAGAGGGGTGATTTTGTTAGCACCCTGAGCAGCCTGAGGTAGGGGACCAGGGTGGGGTGCGAGACCTAATCCCTGATGGGAGAAGAGGGGTTTGGCAGAGACACCAGAAGGAGGGTCAGAGAACCCTATCCTTGTGTACATGGAGGAGGCGGGGGATTGGACTTGATGACCTCTGGTTTAATAAGCTTCAGATGTCATCATTATTATCATCACCACAGGTTTGGGTCCAGATTGCTTGGGTTCAAATCTCACTCTACCACTTATTATGGTTGGAACCTGGGAAACTGACTTATTCACCAAATCCACAGTTCCATATTCATCAAATGAGGATAAATAACGGTACTTACATAGCGTTATCAAGATTAAATGAAGTAATATATGGCAAAGCTTCTAACAAATGCTTACTGCAGGCCTGATGTGTGCCAGGCACTGTTTTAGGTGCTGGGGGTTCAGTGGTGAATAAGATGGGCTGTTTTCCTCACGGAGCTCCTGTTCCAGCCTCATGGTACTTGGCATCTGCCTTAGGTGTTCAGTGAAAGATTGACAGGAGTGCTATCTTTTGCGTAACAAGCATTTGTGCATGTAGGCCACAAAGTGAATTCGTGTCCAGTGTGTCTTTAGGCTTCCCATAACCTTATTTTATTTTTTATTTACTGATTTGAGAGAGAGAGAAACATTGATTTGCTGTCCCACTTATTTTTGCACTCATTGGTTGATTATTTTATGTGCCCTGACCAGGGGTCAAACCCGCAACCTTGGCATATCAGGAGCAATGCTCTAACCGACTGAGCTATCAGGCCAGAGCCTATAACCTTAATTTTATGGGGTGGGTATTGCAACTGGGAAAATCAAGGCTCAATGTTCAGGAGAGTGACTTGCCCTTAAATCATGCAGCTAGTCAATGGCACAAGGACCTGCTACCCAGATCTGCCTGACTACCTAGGCTTCTCATTCCTGATGCAGAAGACAGAAGTTGTGTGTGTGTGTGTGTGTGTGTGTATGTGTGTGTGTGTTCATGCGTGCACGTGTGCACAGGTGGGAGTGAGGTGAACTAGATATATGTTCCATCTCAGTGTTCACTGGGTGTCAAATCTGATGCTGTGGAAGAGAGAACATCTTTCTGGGGCACATGCAGGCCTCTCCCCAACCTCTTGGCCAACCTGAGTTTACCTTATTCACTGTTCACATAGCTGGTGAATGAATGAATGAGCAAGTGAGTGACACTCTCGCTTCTCCTCCCCCTCCTCATTCTCTCTCTCTGTTTCCTTCCCCCTGGCTTGTCTCCTTTCTCCAGAGGCCTGCTCCAAGCCAAGCTCCACTTGCCCTCCTTGGCAAGATTCAGCTGGAGAGAGGTAAAGGCTGAGCCGCCTTCCAGAAAACAGCCAGTCCCTGGCTGGCTCCAAGGGCCCAGAGTCAGGAAGAAAGTCTGCTTGCTGGGGCAGAGGGCCCAGCCTGGCCAGCACTGGGGGACTGTCAGGGTGAGAGCATGCCTGGAGCAGGAGGAAGGGTGCTATGGATTGAACTGTGCCCTCCCAAATTCACATGTTGAAGCCCTAACCCCCAGTGGGACTGTGCTTGGAGATAGGACTTTTAAGAGGTAATTAGGATAACCTAGGTCCTAAGGTGGGTTCCTAATCTGATAGGATTGGTAGGTTTATAAGAAGAAGAGAAAAATCTCTCTCTCCAGGAAACACACTGAGGAAATGCCATGTGAACAGTGAGAAGGTGGCTGTCTGCAAGCCAAGAAGAGAGCTCTCACCAACACCCAACGATGCTGGCTTCTCAGGCTCCAGAACTGTGAGAAAATAAGTATTTGTGGTTTAAGCCACCTAGTTTATGGTATTTTGTTATGGTGGCCTGAGTAGATTAATAGTATAAGAGGGAATGGGGGTTCCTGGTCCTGCTCTTTCCCACATGGTCCTTCCAAATTCAGACCCAGGCCAGATCAAGTAGGCTCCTGCCCCAGCCTGTCTTGGGATAAGAGCCTCTCTTCTTAGGCTCTTTTCCCTTTCTTGGCCTGAACTACAAGTGCTCACAGCTTTCTCTTCCCATCACACCTCTCCCCAACCCTGTGTCCTGCCCCCACAGTCATATTTCTAAAGCACAAGTCTATTTGCTTACTCCTTGGCTGAAAAGCCTCTGATGTCTCCTCATTACCTTCCTACAGGATGAAGTCCAAGCAGGTTACCATGACTGTGCACTGTGCGACCTGCACAACTGTACACAGTGATGCGAAGTCCAGCATCATTCATTCACTGAACTAGTATTCATTCCCTAGACATTCTCAGTTTAGCACCCAAGGCTCTCGATGAGGCAGCTCCTGCCTCTATCCTCTGCTTCCTTTCTCACCTACTCCTTTGGGTACCATGTACTTTAGCCACAATAAGCATCATACCTTTTCATACCTGTGTGCTTCACACACAAGTTCATCTACCTGCTTATCTGAGAAGGCTGAGACAGTAGAGTGGGCACAGATTTGGAATTCTCTTTCTCTGTCATTTCCTAGCTAGGTGAATGTGGGCAAGTTAACCATGTGAATCTCAGTTTTCTAATGTGTAAAATGGGATTAAGCAAATATGATGTGTCTCACATTGTACTTAGTATATAGGATATAATAAAAGTTGATTTCTTCCCTTCTTTGCATGCTGAACTCCTATTCATCTTTGAAGACTCAACTGAGATGTTGTCTACTTGGTAACATTACCCTCATTCCTTCCAAATGGGTAAAGTCTGTTTTCCCTGTTTCTCCCCCTCCTGCCCTGGGACACAGGGGAAATGTCAACTCTCTGTCTTCCTGGCGGAGTGGTAGGAAAGAGATGTGGGAGACACAACACGGTCTGGGCGATGGCTTATGAAGTGGAAGCCAGTGGAGACTGTACTGCTGTGGCCAGGGATGTGGGAGTGTGGCATAGGTGGTCTCCTCTAAGACACAGCCACCACCTGCCAGCTCAGGTCCCCTTCTCTGTTCAGGTCTCCATCTCTGAGGGTACAGTACTGAATGCCTCAGAATCAACTGTTTTGCAAAAACAGACATTTTATTTTCTGTGATGGGAGATACACAGGCACCCATGGGTATATGGAGGGCTCTCTGCCAGACCCCAAGTTGTGACCTTGAGAACTTGGGCACTGTGACCTTGAGGAACTTTTCTAGCATTCTGCAGTCTCTGGGGGTAGGGCAGTGCCTTACCACAGGCTGGGTAGGCTGGTCTCAGGTGGTCCTGCCAACCCAGGGCAACTTCAGTCTGGTTTGGTTTCCTGGGTTGAAATCATAACCTGTCAGGCCCAACTCTGGCCAAAGATAATGATGCTTTAGCAAGGCCCTCAGCTGGGAGGGGGCAGGTACTCGTTCCTCATAGAACAAAAGTGGGCTTCTTCTCTGGGTTTCCCTTTCCACCCTCATGGTATGGTTTCCTTAGGACCCCAGGCCTGCTAGAAAAACTATCCCAGCTTCTGGAGGATTGGGTGGGGGTGGGGGTGGGGGCAGTAAAGAACGTGAAGCTTCTCCAAGACTCTTGGAGTGGGCTGCTTGGTTTGCGTTCTTGACTCTCTGCTGCCCCTGTGTGGCTGTAGGGCTAGTTGATGTCACACCACTGTACAGGGCTGTGTGTGTGTGTGTGTGTGTGTGTGTGTGTGTGTGTGTGTGTGTGTGTG